CCCTTTTAGAACCTTCATAGAACACACGACTCACTCATGTTGGGCAAAGACGTGACTTGGCCAGGTGATAGCTCTCAAGGAATTTGGTCCACAGGCCACAGCACCCCCACCTATAGGGGTGCCAAGTGGCGCCCCAAACTATCTATGGACGGCCCGATATTACTAAATTATCTAACAATCCTTTGGAGATAGTAAGGATCAACTGATAATATCACATTTTGGAATGGAATCTCTCCCCGCATTATTTATATGGATTGCAAGAATTTCAATAGCAACCAAATAGACAATGAAAATCAAAGAGGAAACTCGGCCACATAGCCAATTGATCGAAAATGAAATGAGATATTTTCAGACAAGCAATTGACAGAACTTCAGGTAAACTTAACTGAATGTAGCTTCACCAGCTCGAGTTAAGAGTGTAGGAGATGACACGAACCGTATGTCTTTAGGAAGTTGCACCAGGATCACTAATCACACCCAAAAATTCATCCTTTATGGTCCCAATACAGAACTGCAAAGTGAGAGATGATGAACATTAGAAAGAGTTCGGTCGGAGAAGGGGAAATAAACAGAATAAGAGGGAGGGAATTGTAGACAATAAATAAAAACATGCTTTTAATCTTGATAATGACTTCAAGCAAGCAAGGTTAGATAGAATTTTGGTGATGCCGAAATAGACTAGTTCAGATTACACACTTCTTTAATGTGCATTATAAACAAGATAATCACTTCAAAAGAACTAGTCAAATACAACCTTGTGGTATGAATGTAAAATGTATAGTTTTTTCTCTTTATTTAATACGCTCGTATGATTATTTTATGCCAAAATGTACTTATTAATCTCATATTTTGGTTTAGGTGGCAATTTGATGGATATGACGTAATTTGGAAGAAATGAGTGAAAATGGACAAAAATGGAAGAAAGTAAAAGTTCAGGGACTAAAGTGCAAATACTCTAAACTTGCTTCTAACCTTGTGATGAAGATTCGAGAGTGTTAGAGGTCAATTGGATGAAGGAAGGAGTCAAAGGGATGAAACATAACCAAAACATTATTATATATCAACTTTCAAGCTGAAAAGTTTTGTACCGATTTTCAACCTCATCTTGAGACCAGTTTTTGACATGGTAGATGATCGAATTCGAAGATGGTATCTGAAGAAAAGTTGTATCCCTTTGAGTTATATTTCCAACGCATCTTCAATCATCTCAATCGGACATTGGGAGAGGAAGTTATGATGAAAATACTAAAGAAGACGCAGAATTTGAAACAGCAACACAGCGCCCAGGCGCTACAACACGCGTCCAGGCGCCGTGTTGCCCAGAAAGAACAGATTTTCAGCGCCTAGGCGCTGCTCCCATAGCGCCAGGCACCGCGCAGCGCAATTTAGGGTTTTTTTGTATGTATGGCAGCAAGAAGCCTAGAAAAACACCCCAAAACACATCAGAACCTCTCCAACCTTTTTTCTCTCTATTTTTTTTGTCTCTTGCTACTAGAAATGTCTTCAGCCGAGTGACAATAGAAAGAAATGGATCAGCACTAAAGTTCGACACTAACGGGATAATGGGAAAAGAAAAGTAACATTATGAAAATGAATTTTGTAGAATACAGGTGACGTGTATAAAGGAGATAGATTGCATACAATTTCTGTAGCATCAACTCGAGTCCCAATAATCTTTAGCCGAACTTCACAGTCTTTCTGAATTTTAACCTGAGAAAAAGATATGAGTGTCCCAATGCATCTTGAAACAAAACTTAGAAACAAGCAGGCAAGAGATGAAGCAGAGGTGTGGTGTTGGGTTGCTAGTGATACATACAGATCCATCTGAAGTTGAATAATTTGGCATGTCTCCTGATTGAAGTTCCATGTCATCTGGTATCAACTATATACAAAAAATTAGAATGTCAGATCATTTAGAAGACAATAAAGCCTTCACAATTTGAAGTTCTTGAATGAGTAAAAGAGTAATTCTGGCATGAGATTTTTCTATTATGTAATAGCCATGGAAAGTAATATTTGTAACAAACTAACAATGATATCCGAAACATAAACAGAAATTGAAGTATAACTCATCACCAATTCAAACTTCATCTCTTCCATACCTAGACTTAAATTAGGCTGCACACTAAATAGTGCAAAGGTCATAGTAAGGTGATCACTTTTGCTCCTTGTGCTAACCGATAATAAAGTAAACATGGTTTCTGATGCTTCCAGTAATTCAATGAAGAAATAACATGCCACTATTTCAAATTACTTTATGTTTCATATGACTTGTGCACATGAAAGAAATTGTGAAATAAAATCAAATCATGAGAAGAACCTATTGGATCAGTCTCCATCACTTGCAATTTACTCATCATAGGTAATCATATTTAAGATCTTTTATATTCACCAGTGTCCTCAAACACAGTTTTGATCAATCACTACGTAACCAGATGAATTATAAGGGTCAAAGTCTTGTGTATTGATGTGAACAGACTCACAAGAAATAACATGTGGATTCAATTTATTAGATGCTAAGTAATTGATCGTCAATACAAAGATAATAGGATTAAGATCTCAGACATGAAAACTATATAATATTGCTTGCACATTAAGACGAGGACCAGGGAATTCACAATGCACTTCGAGTTAATAGTATTATGTTTCTATACGCAAACTTAACCTATGTCTAACACTAACAAGCAAATGTTCCCTCGGTAAAAGACTGCGTGCATGTCTGTTATAATAAAGCAGCAAAGCATTTGAAGTGAAGATAACTATTAGTTTGAGTTCACATGAAATTTGGTCTGCTTAGCATGCTCCAGAACTAGGTAACCATTAAGCATACAGACGAGTTTCAAGCTATAAAACGATTTGGAAGAGACATTCTTCTCTTGACTAATTAACCATAGGATCTGTTTATTCTTGACTATTTCACAATTGCCTTTCAATAAAATTAAAAAATAGAAAAAGGCCTAAAGAAAAAACGATTTCTAGAGAATCAAAAAGTCTCCTGAGTTGTAAATCCATTAGCTAAAACTTAATTGTTCTTATTCATTTCTATAGCAACAAGATGGACTTTATAAGAACTGAAGTTTCAAATGGAAACTATAACTATATAAGAACATGTTATATGTTTATCAAAATCCCATGCTGAAGGCTAATGCATCGACAATGATTATGAAACACAATCACCATTGCCCTTAAACCATTCAGTTACAATTCTGTGCTCCAAACAGCACATGTAACCAGTCCAAAGTAAACAGCACCATTTAATACTACCACACCAAATGTCCCCCTAAAAACCCCAGAGCACATCAATCACTAGTTCATTCTTTCAATTCCAACTCGGAAATCCTACACATCATTCTGGTGGACCTCGTTTTAGACGCCCTTCTAAACAATGATTCTGTAAGAACATAAAATAATTTTCTACTAGAGCATGGCTTTATTGATCTAGTGAGAACTTCAATTGCCCCCCTCATTTGAATAAATTCGGAACAAGCGATTTAAATATAATTAGGGGTATGTTTAATGTAGATCTATTGAGAATAGATTTTGTGAAAAGTGACTTTTAGAATGCGTGGTTAAAAAGTAGGGAAGAGTTATGGTCGACATGTAAAATTATTTTATTCAGACAACGTATGATTGGAAATGAGTTTGAAGAAAAATGAATTTTAAAGAATATGTACCAAACATAGGCCAAGTAACACAAATTTTCTATAACAAAAAGTGGAATGATCTATAAAAAGGATAGAAACTTGTGAAATGGATCTAGAGATTAAAAAACGATTGTCATAATAGGCTTTGCAAGAATAATTTTAAATGAAGACACTGACATGATTCGAAACGAAAATTTGCACAGGTCCTGCTTCAGCGAAAAACCCCATCTGCCACAATTTCAAATGAACAGTATCTTAATACTTCAGAACAAAACAAAAACAGAGATACGAGTACATAATAAATAAATGAAAATCAATAGATGGAAGACCTTGTTAACAATCTCTCCCTTGAAGGGTCGAAACACAACGCACTGATACTTCACCGGAAATGTAGCATAACCGGTGCCATCGAGAATTAACCTTTGCCCACGCTTTCAATGCCAGTGATCGCCACAATGATCCCATGTCGGCCGCTGTAAAAATCAAATCAAACCCAATTACAAATATGAGTTAAAATTAAATGTGAAAAAAAAATCACTGATTGGGATTTGATGGAGGAGGACTACTTGCAAGTGCCTTCAAAATCTTTCATCAGTTTGGTGATGAACTTATCGCGCAGATCACGGCCGAAGTGGCGTGGGTGCAGCTGCATGTTACGTTCCAATATCATGTGGAAAAACATTTCTTCTCAGGTTCTGTGCGAATGCATGGGTGTGTGTTTATGCCGCTTGTTTGCGGGTAATACTTACGCATGTTTGGCTATTATAAGCTTATAATCCCGAGTATGGGATTCGTTCCCATACTTATTGGAGCTTATAAACTCCAAATAAGCTGTGTCCAAACAAGCATGTGAATAATAACTATGAATCATACGATATGTGAAGATAAAAATTAAATTTTATCAACTTAAATTAATGCCCCTAATTGGTTTAGATAATTATCAGATATTTAGGAAATTTTGATAAAAATTATTGTAATATTTTATTGAAAAATTGTGAATCTTATTAAATATGTGATTAAAATATCAAATATGTAATGTGAATATATCCATCCTTCTATTTATTATATCAATTTTTCAATTTGTACAGAAAATGGGTAATAGAAGCGACAGCCTTTCACATGCGTGCAGGTCCCGCGTCAATAAAAAAATCCAAAAAACGGTGAGCCCTCCCTCTATTATGAGTGTTCGGTCAAATTGCATGTCAACCATTTCCAGTAAGTGTAGCATGATTGTTATTATATAGTCTAGTCCGGTTCAGTCAGCATCCAACACCTTATTTTGAACTCAAACAGCCTGTTTTATTTCATGCATACCAAGGTTAAGCAACTCGCAATCAATTTAAATCCCAGGCTTCTCTAATCAACATATTCTGTTAACTCCGATAAAGAAGTCAATGCTTTTTCTTCTATTCCCTCTGATGCCGGTAGATGGATTCCAAGACTAAAGCCATTGATTCCATGAAGACCCTGAGGAAATGAACTGATAATAAGAGTTGTCATGGAACAGTGATTGATCAAGCAATTCCAATTCAAATTGAAATCCATACAAGTAATTAGGATACATTAATATCTGGGAATTCTCTGACATCATTTGAAGCATACAATTTAAGGATGCATTAGAACATTGTTTTGAGGCAAGGCAACAAAAATCTCCGATCACACCGCAGTTTACAAAACCCAATGTATTTATTCAGTTGAATTGTAAATTTCGTGAGAAGAATTAAATACGGTGAGAAAAACATATGGCCCTTCAGACTACTCGATAACAACTATCTCCAAACAAAGCAGTCTTGAGAGTTTCAACTTCGCCACACTATTGTGTAGTGTACCCCTGATTGTCTCTGGCCTCTGTAAAGTTAAAAGGCCAAACTTCAGCGCAGCAAAAAGCACGGCTTCTACAGAAGAAAGAAAATGGAAAAATTAAAATAAAATTCTGAGATGACTGAAAAAGAACATGTTGATGATATTTCAATTCAGAATTTGAGGTGAATTTAATCAGTCGAAAGCAGCCACCAATCTACAAAATGTGGAACAACTGATAAATTGCCAGCTTCATGGACATCAACTCGCTAAAGGTCACTTGCATATATTCTAGGGCTGGATTTGGTGTGATTCAATTCGGTTCTAAAGAGAACCCAACCAAACTTGAATTTTCGGGTATTTAGTAAGTGGAACCGTCGGATCCAAAATTTAATTATGGAACCGTTCGGGTTTGATTCCATTCGGTTTGGTTCGGTTTTGTTCCCGCATTTTGTACATTAATTAATTTTTTTTAATATTTACAACAACACTACATTAATTCTACTACTACCTGTTCAATCTTAACTCTTACAAAATAATGTAATCCAATCTCATGGCATCTTTTACGCCTCTTTGTTAGTTTTTCATAGTTTTGACAGTTAAAATCATAGGAAGAGGAAAGTAGCAAGTTCACAATAATAGAACAGCAGAAACGACACTATGGCAAAATAAGAGATTTGGGTAAAACTTAGATCAATTTGATACAGTTGAACTTGCTGGAAATTAGAAACAGTAGAATCATATTTTAGATTTGGGCTAAATTACTTACTTAGAAAATTTATTTAGAAAAAAATAAAATAATTTGATTTATTTAAAATTAAAAATTAAAAAAATTAGGAACCAAATCCGTCGATTCTTGTTTTAGATACCCATTCGGGTATTTAACTTAAGAAGAACCGCTCGGTTCTATTCTATTCGGTTCGGAAGTTTTGTTCAACCATAATATATTCTCAAGGCACCATTGAAGAACAGGGAATAAACTTGGTGCGGAAGCAGAATTGAAATTCTTGAAACAAGAATAAAGTTGAAAAACCAAAAACTATGCAAGGAATAATTGAATTGATTGAATTGTTCTCATTTTTCCTCTGTTAAAAAATTGATTAAGATTTAAGATGTTTGGTTCAACTTGTAAGCTTCTCGAAAATCTATTGACAGGGGATCAAACAATAATATACAAAGGAAGGCTAAAGGTGTGTACAAATCTATGGAAACATTTGAGATTGCATTTCTTGTTGTTGATGCATGAAGTTTTGGGAAAATCCAATTTGTTATGTCAAGCATTGCAAACGAAAGATGAAGACATTTTGAATGCAATGAATTTAGTCTCAACTACAAAGATGCTTCTTCAAGAGATGCGAAATGATCACTGGGAAAGTTTTATTTGATTTTGTAAAAGCAATGATATTGATGCGCTTGAATTAGATTATCATTACATGGAATGTACAAGACGTTCTTGTTAACAGAAAAATAACAACACCGTGGAGGATTACTATCACTTTCATATATTCAATGCTCTAATAGAGTTTCAATTGGTGCAATTGAATAATACATTACAGAGAACACAGTGGAACTTCTTAAGCTGCGTGAGGCTCTGAATCCTATTGACGGGTTCAAATCATTCTCTATAGATGTTATTTGTCCTTTAAGTGAGAAATTTTATCCTCTGAATATTACTAAAGAAGAGAGAAATGACTTGAGTAGAAATTGAATCATTACAAGTATGATGTACTTCGGAACCTACAGTTTCAGAATATTGATTCTCTTCCAGTCATGTCAAATGTTCATTGAAACGAAGAAGTCACTTCATTATTTCTTGATTGATAGGTTGATTTGTTTAGTGTTGACTTTACCATTTTCTACAGCAACAACAGAATGGGCTTTTTCAGGGATGTAACCCATCAACTCATCAAGACATAGATTTACAATAAAATGGAGAATGATTTTCTATCAAACTCCACGATCATCTATATTGAGATTTGAGAAGGAGACTGCTCTTGGTATTGATGTAGAGGTCATTGACAAGTTTTATCGTCCAGGGAATTGCACAGTGCGACAAAAACAAAAGTAGCATATTAAGGTATTTGTATTGCACGTTATGGTATTTTAAAAAGTGTGTGTGTGTGTGTGTATAAGACCTCACTATGCATCCATTTTTGTATTTTCGTTTTCCTTGAACTTTCGAAGTCAAAATTTGACAGCCCCATAGACTAATAAATCCTGGAACCTCCCCTGACCTGGTGACTGAAAAAGTCGATCCAAGTGGTCAATGACTCAACCAAGGCGATCCATGCAACTGCTGCTACTATGTATCCTATCCAATTGGTGTTCTAATCACTTGTGTTCAATAAGTTAACAATATCTAATAATGATTTCATTTAAATCAATTCGACTAATCCCAAAAGGGCCAAAACTAATCATTTTAACATCCAATAACTAATACAAGTTCCAGAACTATCCTTTTACAGTATTAATCATTATTGTAAAATTTCAGAATACAAAGATATAATGCAATAATTTACTGTGTACACTATTATTGTTGTTGTCATTATCATTTAGCGGAAAAGCATACTGCATACCAGAAATAATAGACTTTAAACAAAATAAGGACATGATGCCACTGTTGTGTTAAAAATTTATATGAAATAAAGATGCCTTAAATTCAAACAGGCATTTTCTCTAATTAAAAAAAGTTATAAGTTCCTTGTTCAACCTAACCCTATATCTCCTATCTTAACTAGCAAAGGAGTAAATATCTTTAAAAGTAAATTAAATTAATAGAAGCATAAACATGGCATGTGAAACTGAAAAGGAAGCAGTAAAAACTAAAAACAACTTCCATACTAAGGTGTTTTGGATGAAAAGGAACCTTTTACCCATGAAAATACTTTAATGAGTCCTCCAATAATTTAGTAGTATAAGAGCGTCAAGGATATCGATGCTTAGAGAGTCGACTCTATGTCAATAAAGTTAATACAATAACCAGAATGGATTCTTTTTATAATTTAGGAATGAAATGATATCTGCCCCTGCCCGTCAGTGGTCATCTCAGTAGTAGTCATCATACTGCCAATCCCTTTCCACCAAGTCATATGTGGGAAGAATGAAATGGGCCGAGATTACAGGAATAATGCATGAGATGGTGTGATTGAAGAGGACAGGTCTTTCGCTAACAATAGATATTTCCCTTTGAAAAATAACAGTCCCTGAATTTCACAAAGTTAACAGATTTTCTGCTTCCATGAAAGGAGTTAAGTATGTGCACATAAAACTAGACTAAATAATCAGTAACTAGCTTGAGCAATTCCTTAGAGAAATCTACTATGGGCCTCTGGCTAAAGCCTAAAAGTAACTCTTATGATGTTTAATTATTAATACAAATCTATCTACCATCACACATAACTAAAACCTTAGATTTCCAAATACACGTTTGAGCAGAAAATACAGATTATTTCATCAAATCAACTCAAACTTACAAACTGGTCAAACAAATACAATCGGCATCAGTAAATTAAAATAGACAGAACCCACGAAATAATTCACAGTTTCCAAGATTGCAAAACAAATATAACATAGATACTGACCTTAGGCATTCTCCAATAACCAATTTAGCTTCATGAGAACCGTTTTCTATCATTTTGGTTTCAGAATCTGAAATGAACACATCAAACTTTCGTCAACACTCATCATTGCACCAGCATTATCGAATTCACCACAATAGTTGGGCGCTGAAAATATTGTCACTAGCTGCCTGTCTGCAAAAAACTCGTATCCATCTTCCACAACCTGGGCAAAAAGCATCCCGACAACATTAAAACCCACAAAGGATCAAAAGAACCAAGAGAAAATCTCCATACCTGATGAGCACGACAAACAAGGTCCAAATCATGCTGCATCAAAAATTCAGTCACCTTATCTGGACCAAATGTGTATGAGACTCCCCTATCGTTCATCCCCCAACCTTTTATTTCTCTACTAGGATCTGACCAAAGTAAATCACAAAGCAAGCCAGAGTCAGGAATATCAGTTGGACGTGGTAAATTTCTTATTTGATCCAAGTTTGTTAGATCAGGAGAAAGACCCCCATGCATGCAAAGTATTTTATCATCTATAAGACCAGCCACTGGAAGGCAATTAAAACAATTGGTGAAGACTTTCCATAATTTCACATTGTAGCGGCGTTTACACTCATCGTAGAATCCATATATCCTATTAATAGAAGCGCATTCATGATTTCCTCTTAAGAGAAAGAAATTCTCAGGATACTTGATTTTGTAGGCAAGAAGAAGGCATATTGTTTCTAAACTCTGTTTTCCACGGTCAACATAGTCCCCTAAGAACAAATAATTTGCATCAGGAGGGAATCCACCATACTCAAAAAGTCTTAAAAGATCACCATACTGCCCATGAATGTCACCTGGAACCCAAACAGAAACCACAAAGATTAAGATCTGACTTTTGCAAGATTACAAATTGAAAAAGGAGAAACTGTCAACTAAAACTGAAAATGCAATTTGGTCTATATTGAGTAAGGAATAGAAAAACATAAAAGTGATACTTTTCATCCATACAAATAATGCGAACTACAGCTTCGTACAATTCTAATGGTGGGAAAATGAAGTCTCCAGTAACATAAAATAAGGTTTTGTCAACCTTCTTTCTGCTTATTTCAATTTTTATCGCCATCTGCACTCCAATAGATTCTAACAGATCACAGCTTGATATTCAAATTATAAGAAGAACTTGCAACATCATTGATGTTCAAATAATATGAACAGAAAACAACATAATACAGTCTGAGTGGCCAGGAGACACAGTAATAGACTTATCAATGACTATATATATAGTGTCGTTTTTTAAGTGTTTTTACACAATATGAACGAAAACCAACACACAAGGACGTGCCCTCAGGAAAATAAAGAGTAGACGTCCAATTTGATGCTCAGCCAGAAACTATCTAAAATTAGGCACGAATGCTTGCAAGCATTAGTAATAATAATAAAGAGGATATAATAAATTCTATTTGGACCAAAATTATAACTATGGCACCCACATTTCCATTCAAAGGGGAAAAAGTAATTGAATTTGTCGAAGATGAATCAACTATTCATTGTTTATATTCTACAAGCAAATTCTCACACGAGTCATAAGCTTCACAAATCACAATGAAATTGCAAACTTCCAATGCAATAGGGCATGGTGCATATACAAAATCATACAGGTAAACCAACGTGCATAAAATACATATACACACAGAATAGGAATACCGCAAATCTTGATGGGTGCTTCGAGCTCCAGGAGATTCGGCTGCGAGAGAAAAATTTCGCGAGCTGTGGTGCAGAGAGCCCGGATCTCATTCTCTGAAAGCTGGACTTGACGTGGCGTCCTGGCACTCCGAAACACCAATAATCGATTGATAATATCATCTAGAACGGCAGGCTCTAAGCCCTGCCCGTTTGCCGCCATCTCCGCCCTCTCTATTATCCTTCAAATTCTAAACCAAAACTGGACACAAATGACAAAACCTAGAATCCCAGAAACCAAAAAGAAAACCAGACAATAAAAACCCGAAAATTCCAAGCTTCAAACAAGAAATGAATTTGATTTGGAGAAATCTGCAGGCGGACAGGCAGCCGTATTGTCGTTCTGCAGTATGTGCGGCTGGATGTGGACTCCCAGTTTTAGGTTAAGGGGGTGTAGCTTGGAGGGTCTCGACTCTCGATGCATTTGATTGTTCAATTGGAGAGTTTCAGAAAATATCAAATTCATTTGACTACGATTTTTATATACAGAAGAATAGAGGGCGGGACCCAGTAGAAAAATTCCGTACAGATTGGATTTTGGATGAGAAGTTTTGGTGACCATTTTTTCTAAGGGCCTGTTTGATAGCCCTTTATTTTTCATGTAAGTTGGAAATGAAATTCCGTTTCCTATTTTTGTCGTGTTTGATGGCACTTTTTTTTCCTGGAATTGGTTTTCCACCTTTTTCTAGGTACAATC